GCACACAACATTAACCACTAAACATCATCATCATCATCAACAACAACATCATCATCATCAACAACAACAACAAAACATCATCATCATCATCAACAACAACAACATCATCACCATCAACAACAACAACATCATCCTCATCAGCAACAACAACATTAACCACAAAACATCATCATCTTCAACAACAACAACAAAACATCATCATCAACAGCAACGACACAACGGGAGCGAGACATTAAAATTTTTTTTTAAATATACACCGCATAAAAATTTGATCAGTTAGTAGAGAGAAAAGATGATTAAAATTTCAACAGATGTCGCCAGTTGGTCGGCTGGCAGAGGAAGAGTGTCACATCAAAACTTCCACATCATCCACCCACCACCAGCTTTCATCTTTGTAATCGCATTTGTTATCATCTTCGTTGCCACATTTGCACCATAAGTTGCCCATCTACACCACACCACACCACACCACACCACACCCACACCGCCATCACCACGACTGATCACCGCAGTCACATTCCCACAACGAGGTATTAATTACATCATCATCATGTCAACATCATCTTGACCTCGTTTAAACTCTGAGATACAATATGCAGCTCTGGATATGTTTGTTGTGTGAGAAAGAGAAAGCAGGATAGAAGAGTAAAGAGCTTAAATGTTTAATTTTATCTTATATCAGTCACATTGTTTGTATATTGTTATCATGTGTGTTTGTGTGTGTTTATGTGTGTGTTTGTGTGTCCGTGTGTGAATTGTGAATGTTATATCATTATACGTGTGTGTGTGTATGTGTGTGTGTGTGTATGTGTGTGAATTTTGGATGTTATGTCATTGTAGAAACATTAGCAGCGCGGAACAGTGTGTACAACAACAACAACAACAACAACAACAGTTCATCATCCCTTCTTTGCTTTTATGCGATTGGCATCTACATAATGATATTAACATCACTCTTAACTTTTTACCATTCAAGTCGTATCACTTTACCACCATCATCACATTATCATCATTAACATTGTATAATGATAATAATCATCATCACTCTCATTATCATCGTCGTCATCAACATCACATCGTTATCATTCATCGCTCGTGGCATCATCATCACGTCTTTACTATCACATTATAAACCTACCTTCTAATTATTATCGTACCGCCACGTAAACATCATCCTATCATCATCAACTTATCATTATCATCATATCATCACATCATCATATTACCAGCGCCATCACGTTACAATCAGATCATTACGTCATCATCTTCGTCACGAGTTGTTGTTGCCCTACCCCGCTGCGGTACGATGACGTCACAATTACAACATCTTTTAAACCATCAACAACAACAACTTTGAAAGAAGACATAGGAAAGAGAGAAAGAGGGACGGAGCGTGTGAATGAGAGAGAGTGTGTGAAAGAGAACATACTACAGAACAGTATACAATAGTTAAAGTGTTTGTTAAAGTTAATACAGCAGACACCACAATGGGACTAGGAAGAGATTTCCAAACCAGCTCCCACTTGAACACTCTGAGATTGGGTTGAATATTTCGTATGCATATTCCATATCTTAAACCAAGTCATTTCTGTATCTATCTCTACCCTGTTTAATTGCTCAGTGCAATGTTGTAGGTAGGTACATTGAAATTTAAGGTCGTCAATTTATCGGGCGGTCATAGCAAAGCACACGTTTTCAATTCTGTATGTTAGTTAAGTTACTTCGAGACAATCTGTTTTTTTATAACTTGAAAGTTAGAAATGTTGGTTCGCAAATAAAAGATTGACATATAAAATACGTTTGATCGATTTTATGTGGTTCTTCATAATTTAAATGGAGAAAAAAATCTCTTTTAATACTCGGAATTATTTTTCCAATCTTTTTTAGCTCATAAGCGTGCAGATCCAACAATGCATGATCAACACAAACAAAACGTATCTATTATACGTATTATACGTATCATTACGATTGACTCCCATTAAAATGTTCAAAATGTCGAATTCAATCCTATAGAAACAAGACACACTCAAACATTTTTTTAAAATGAAACCTCTTTCCATTGAATACAACGGTCCTTTAAGTGACCTCTGCAACGAGTCACACGCTCAACACCAAAACCCGCACATCACAAAAACAAATCTTTCATTCATTCGAACCTCTTGAAGTCACCCACCACGCGGGAAGACAGCGATGGTTGAGTGCCAGCTGTCGCAATAAATAATAACATCAATATTTAACAGCACCCAACTTTCAAGCCAACAAAACTGCACTCGAAATTCCAAACAACAACATCAACAAACCATCAACAACAACAAACCAACAACGACAACAAACCAACAACGACAGCAACAATGCCCACCCGCCTCACTCCTTAGTTCAAACAGCTTTATTGGGTACGCAGTTTATAATACGACGTCAGGTAAGAGTGAGAAATTTTATCACTAATTTAAAATTAGGAGAGTTCACTTCTAATGACAATCAGAGAGAGATGTTTTCGTTTGTAGATAGCACGTGTGTGTGTGTGTGTGTGTATTGTGTGTGTATGTGTTTGTGTGTGGTGTTAATGTGTGTGTTTGTGGTGTGTGTGTGTGTTGATGTGAAAGCAGTATTTTACATAAATTATGGATTGTTCAGTGCAAAAAGATTGCGTACACATTTTAAAATAGGCCTGTACACAACGCTCTCTCTCTCTCTCACTCTCTCTCTCTCACTCTCTCTCTCTCTCTTTCTCTCTCTCTCTCTCTCTCTCTCTATATATATATATATATATACATACATATTATTTAATTTATAAATTATTTGAGGTCGATAATCGACTGGGTGGTTGCGGAAACATAGATGAATTGATCTTATTAGACTTTGGTGATAATAAAACTGAGAATGTTGTCCTTGCAAAAGTACAAAAGCTTTCAAACGCATTCTACCAAGAGCTGAATGAAAGGACAGGAGCAGTTGCATGGACTCGCAACCATCGAGCGTCTTTAATGTCACTGCCAGCAAGAAATTTCCTCCCTAAAAAATTGTTACATCTGCAACTGGAGTAAATGTCCAGCTGATGACTTCACTGAACACCTCCAGACGATTGAAGTTCAATTCCTGCTACCCAGTTATGACGTCAGGCCAGACGACTTCCTCCAGCCATCCACGCCATTCATGCTGCGCGGTGATGCCGGATAATTTAATGTCGTCCATAACCCAGACGAACAAGTCAGAGTGACAGAATGGACATATCATCAATATATCATATCATATCACAGCCATATCATCAATCGAAATAACTCCACAAATTTTAACAATGCGGTGCTTTAACAACTCTTCAAATTCACGAACAATGGAAAACCATCCATCAATCTTCAATTCATCCTTTGACATTCAACTCTTAATTAAAAAAGAACCTCCATTCAGTACAGTCAACACTAACCAGGAGACAATGAATCATCACGTCAGAAACACTTTGAGATGCTGCTAATATCTGCGCGGATCAAACTTGCGAGTACTAGCAGAACGATGCAAGCAGTGTGAAACATTGCCATTTGATTTGTAATGAAAAGGGCAGAATTATTTTGTGTGTGATTGAACGTTAGCTATCAACACATGTGCGTATGTATGGAGTGTGAGTGCGTGAGTGTGTTTTGCGTGCGTGTGTGTGAACGCTAGGAACTTTTGTAGCATTTCAAAATGTTGTCTGCACATGTGTGCATTTGAAATTCAATACTTTAAAATCGGAACATGATGTTGAAATGGGCGAAGCGTAAACAATGCGAATGATGACATAATTGGCAATATAAATAAAATGAGTGCCTGACAAGTTAGCTTGGTTAGTTGAGGACCTTGTTTATTGGCGGCTGTGTATGGGTCTGCTTTGTGTGCGTGTGCGTGTGCTATCATTTCATAAAGTATAATCGTCATTCGTGTCTATGTACTTTGTAGTGTCAATTTAAAACCTGTTGGATGATACTTTTTGTTGAGCAGATTCAGAATGCGAGGTTTACAAATTGTATGTATGGTACATATTTATTTAGTCCCAGTGTTGCCAAAATTAAAGACCTTCATTAAATAAGCAACATCAATTTAAAATCCAAATTTGTTTGATGATAACATTGTGGCTGGAAGAAATACCATGCTAACTTAAAAGATTCAATTCACTGATTACCTTGGGTGCTTGATGGAATGCGTCACAGCTCACTAATGAATAGCAAGCAGTCGACAAACATCGTAAATTTCTGAGTAGTTGCATGTAAGTGGGGCAAATATTTCATTTAATTTTGCAGCCAAGATGTGCCTGTTGAATAATTTCTATTCGTGGCTCCTGTAAAATTTCATCGAATTTACATAAACAATTAAAATTCAAAATACGCAAAATTATGCACTTGCACGAACAAACAACACGAAAGAAAGCGGTAGAATGTTTTAATTTGAAGTTGACCTTAAGTTGTATATTAAAATAATACATTAGTTAGAACGAACATAGCTGCAGAAAACCACCACACCATCATGTCGTGATGCTACGTCCATCTGGCTGGGAGACGGATTCTTTGCACTGCAAGGAGAAAACTTTTCAACGTTGTTGAAAAGTTTAATGAGCATTTGTACGTACTCCTCTTTTAAAAATATTTTCATTTCCTGGAAGCGATGTTCGTGTGAGAGCGTGCAAGTTTGAAAACACAAATTTGAAAGAAAAATGTGAAGTTAGTTTGGTGGTGTGATGAGGATGGTGTTATGATGGTTAGACTATGATGATGAAGATGATTGGTGTTATGATGATTAGGTTACGATGATGACGATGATAGACTGCTGAAACTTTAAAACATGACTGGGGTAAATTGTTCGATAGCTGACCATTATCGTAATATAACAGACCCCATTGTACCGATGGCACCTCAGTCACCTGCATTTGGGTTTCATAAATGACATTATTATTATTATTATTGTTGTTATTATTATTACTATTATTACTATTATTATTATAAACTCCATTACCAATTAATTCCGAGTCTCCCACGTCCCATTAACAATGCGTCCTTAATATCTTCAGCGTCAGTCCCATCAGTTCTTAACATTAACACTGGACAGATGAAGTGAGACTCCTAACTGAACCGCGCACCTTCGCCTCAGCAACACTCGCAGCACCAACAACAACGAACAACAACAACATCAACAACAACAACAAACAACAACATCAACGTCACTCTCAAGACAACGACGTCTTCAACAGCTTTCACAAAACCATCTAGAATGAAAATCATTGTGCATCGGCGCCCCAACAGCAGGTGCGTGTGAACTTTTGCATGCTTGTTCCACGCATCCGGACAACAAAAATTAACATCTACAGCCATCCAAACAACAACAAACTCTTTTCCACATTAA